CCCCCCCCCCCCCCCCCCCCACATGCCCCAGCTGGGTACCGTTGCCGTGCCCGGCGGCGAGCAGGTTTTCAAAATGAAGGAGCCCGTGGCGATCGTGTGCCCGAACGATGACCTTAATATCCAGATGCCGAATGACGAGGTGTGCGGCGATTTTTTGAGAGTCCTGCGCGTGTTGCATGTGTTGTGCTCTGTGTGTGTTTCTCGGCTCAACGGCTATACATACGGTGCCGACAACGGGCTGGCCGTCGGAGGTAGGGGCGTTGATAGAGGTAGTAGACGGAGGATTCGATGCATGTGGGTGTGTGATTGTGCTTGATGACGTGACGTGTAGCTTTCTTCCTTGTTTTTATACAGTGGGCGAGGGGTCTCTGGCGTACGACAAAAATGACGGGACCATACGAATGACTGACCTGTGGAGCACGAGGGTTGTCGGCAGCCGTTCTTACCCCGTTGTTTCGAGAAACGCCGCGCTTGGTCATGGGAAACCCTTTCTTGATTCGCAGTGTCGACAGCGCACGCAGCACCGGCAGAACGGCCATCATCACAGACACCGATTGAGTGTGGTTTTTGATTATCCCTCCCTCCCTCCCTCCCTCCCTCCGTACGTCCGTCTCTCTTACCTCTGTATCCTCGCATTACAACAATGAAAAAAACAATAGAAAGCCGAGATGCTCTTGGTGATAGACCGAGCGAATCGAGAGTTCGAGTTCGGAAAGTTCTTCCTGTGGGACACGCCGTCCGACGGCCTGGTGGTTCGCTACTTCGAGGGAGAGCCCACACCGGGCTTCGCGTGCGTGGGGCGCGTCGGCATCGTGCTGGCGCCTTTCTTGCCGTCCATGGCGAAAAAGTCGAGTGGTTTCGAAGAGGAAGACTACTGACGATAGAAAGCTAGTAAATCTCTGCCTGGATCTAGAACTTCCTGCTGTGCACCAGCAATTGCCAAGAGCCAACCTGTCTCGATAACGCGATTTCTGACAAACTACAGCAGCGCAGGCAGGTGCAAGAGAGCCCTGATTCGTTGATAGGTCCGTTTGAGATGGATCCGTTTGATGACAGCGATTATTTTTGGGAAGAGGTTGTCCAGATTGCGCGGGAAAGAGTTGGAAGTGGTTTGTCTGGCCAACCTCTTTATCAGAAATCAGGTTGCTGAAGTTTGTAGCTCTATTTTGGCAACACAGTTGCCAAGCCACATCATGCACAAGTCCGAAGGACTCGACGGGCGGGTACACCTGATGGGGGGCACGAAAAAAATAGATGGCGTCCTCTTTCCCAAACTGCCATTGATTCGGCGGGGCCGCCGACGATATTTCTTGTTTTGATGCTGCTTGAGTTTGTTTGGTGTCATCCACGGAGACTGATATCGCCCTCTAGAGTGTGAGGCTGATGTTGACGTCTAGAGTGTGAGACTGATGCAACGTCCTTGTTTTTTGTGTCGGCCTTGTCGCTGCAATGACAACGACGATGACCGTGTGGTACATGCGCATGCGTTTCGTGTTGCTATCGTCTGGGTTTATTCGGCCTTGGGGACAGGTGTAGGTTAAGGGGATGGATGACACCCACGCATTTTTTTTTGTCTTGTTCTTCTCGGAGTGATGTTGTGCACATTTAACAATGACCACGCGCATGAATGGTTGCCTTCTTGCCGACGCTTCTGCTTGGCACATTCATTCAGTGTTGATATATTGTGTATTGTTATTGATTTTGCGTTGATGAGCCATGGGTCCTTCCGGCCTGCCAACTGACCAATAAAAAAATCACGAGAACTCACGACTTGCGCTGTGCTCATGATATTCAGGAATAGAAATGTTTGCTTGGCCTGCTCTGATGCATGAGCGCGATGCGGCACTGTGGCCCACCGTTGGTTGCACGCACATGGTGCGACCTGAAGCGACAACTTGGCAAGGGGGCTTTGCACATGCTTTGTTCACGGGTGTGGTGTAGAGTTGACTGTCCCAGGCCCATGCCCAACATCACCCGTCCAGTGACGCCAGTCTCAAAAACAGAACTTTTGTTCAACCCTCTCGCGGGACTATGGCCCCCCCTTTTCCCTTTTGGTTTGGAGGCCAAACAAAAACCACAGCATTTCTTCGTTCGGTGTCGAGTGCAAAGCACGTGGCGCAACAACACACTTGTCTGAGACAGCAAGCGCGGCGGTGGTCATCAATCTTCAGCAGAGAGGGGCAAATGGTTGGACAAGGACCAGGCCGCGGCTTCTGCGTCGGACTTCCTACGAATTTCCACCGCCATGACCAAACACGCCCCTCCCCCCCCTTGGTAACTTTGCTGATGTAGCTTCCCGCTGTTGGCAGGTAGGTGTCTTCCGTGTTGCCCGACCCGTTGGCGTACCCGCGGGTGACACCATGTGCGTTGCCGGAGGCGGAGGCTAACCCGCCAACAAAAACGATGGCGGGTTCTCCACACAGGACCCTGTTTGGGGAAAGAACAACGAAGCTGCCGGTTGTTTCGAGCCACCCGGGGACTGGTTATCACCTACCCAGCGACGGATCCCCGGCACGAAGCGCCCGGGGGTTCCGCCGAGGCGTTCGATGGGGCGCGCCCACACGACGTTGGTGCGAGCCTCGCCGGACATGTCGGGCTTGCGACGGATGACTCGACAGCACGGTGCCAGGGTCGACCTCGGCCTCGAGCAGCACATCACGAGCCTGTCCACCGGACATGACCCGGACGCGTCCGTGGTGCGGAAAAGACCGGGGGGCTCGCGACCGCCGGCAACGTTGCAGGCGGGAAGGCAGGAGCGATCGGGCCGGTTGACCGAGGACGCGAACAGCCCTTTGCCATGGTCGACGGTCGTCACCCAGGCAGCAGCAGTAGCAGCAGCAGGAGCACCGCCGTCGGGCCGACCTTCACGCCGAAGCCCTCTGGACAAGATGCGCATGGCCGGCGCAGCACAGAGCGGCGCCCGGGGGCTCCGTCCAGGCGTTCGGTGGGGCGCCCCTCCCCGACGTTGAAACGGGCCTCCCCGGAGAGGCTGGGCTATTGGACGGACGACTGGGACAGAGGGAGATGATAATAACACATATGTGTGTGTCATTTTATTTGACACATAGGGGATGATAATGACTGTCCCCGGGGTTTCCACAGTAGAATTACGGTTCCTATGCAGGTAGTCTGCGCGCACAATAACACAGGTAGAGACGGGTGCACTGAGAGCACTACAGGCACCTGATCGTCGCGAAAGGCAAGGAATCACAAAGTACGGCCTTCTGTGCCTACAGAAACCNCATGTGTCAAATAAAATGACACACACATAAACATATATACTTTCATACTCGAGCCGTGAGAGGCCGCCATTTGG